GTGAAAATATATGACGAATAGGTATTACTTTTTGTATTTATCTAAGGACTAGGTTGATAAAGGTGAAAATATAATTAAATATGCAAATCTTATACATTATTAGGCAAAATCTTATATAACACATTCATTAACTTTAATCGATGAGCCCAATTATCGATATAACAATATTATAAATAATTATATATATCAATATATATTTATATTATTATTATATTACATTACTATAAATATTACATACATTCATTAAATTTAATCGAAGATTAAATATATCAATATATGAATATTATATGTATATCAAATATATATATTATATTATTGTTATATAATAATAAATAACATATCTAAACTGCAGTAAAGTCATTTTGGTAAAGTTTATGATCTTGTTGCATAGATCTTTTTCATGGATGTCGGATGTAGGTTATCGAAGCCATATTAGGATATAAATGATATCTATATATCTTGCATACAAAACTCAACTAAGTTTAATACCGAAACCCTTTTCATGGAAATGCAAAAACATTAATAGCAAAAATTGAACAAAGTCGAAATTAAAAGATTTTAAGGCATTGAAAAGTACTATGTATTATATAGCAAATCTTAAATGCCCTCAAGACTAATATAAGTATTCTGACAGGTTAATTATGAATCATATCAATCTCACCTTAATATAATGTGGAGGTATTCCATAGACGATCTGACTTGTCTCTAGTAGTAATTTGCACTGAGATCAGAGCTTGGCTCTATTCTATATGAATTAAAGTATTATAATATATATTCATATATCAAATCAAACACACCCCTTCCTAACAGTTACATACAGCTTAGTAAAACCCAAATACCCTACATATTTGCCCACTTTGCAATAGATTCGAAACTGAGCCATGGAAAACTTTATGACAAATTCAATGCGTGCATTGGGTACGATCTATATATGTCTCCCGTATATCGCATATAAGAAACTTATAGTTGCATGACTTTGGCATACAGGAAGCATGAAATATTCATAGTCAGACTGGACAAAAACGGAACCCTACAGGAGCTGGAGTTCCGTGCTCCAGTGTCTCCCCCACATAATTAGGTTGACGCTGCCAAAAAAACGAAAAGCAGGTGAAGGAAATGGAGCAAGTGGAGGGCAGCTACGGCTCCCAAGCAATTGCCGTGACGCAGTCGAAACGATTAGTTTTGTATTGGCCAATATATAGATACACAAACACACACACACATACATATATAGACAATAGAGAAAATGTCATGTGGTAATCGTTAGATTTGTCGCCAAGATTGCGTTCACTGCGCTCCGAATTTGCGCTCTTATCAAGCAAATGTCGTTTGGTCTAGTGCCGGCCATAAGATAGGACATCGCATAGCCCCAGCGAGCGCATTCCGTTTATTTCCATTTCGCATAATAAAGGTCATTGTGTTACGAGTATTATTACCAGTTCAACCCCTCCCTCCCGTCCGCTACAAAGAGGTTATGGTCGAACAATTTATATTATTAATGCTTCACATGTGAACACATACACACACACTTTCATAGAGTAAACAATGTAAATGCTGAAAATGCTTTTAGTTCAACAAATAGTCGAGCAAAAAGAGTTTTGCATTCAAAGCCCTTTGAATTGTGTCAAACTTTATTCAATGGCAAATATGCATTTATATTTCAAGAAGGCTCTATGAAGCTAATAGCTAAAGAAATTTTAGATGTCAGGCAGGCGAGCGTGGTAACGGGCGTAAATTGTTTTTGAGTAAGTCAGAAGGTTTAAGCGTTAACAGCGATATTACAATAGCTTCTATTTGAGTTTTTACAAAGACAATTATCAGGTTTACACAACAAGTCGTGGAAGCTAGATAAGCTCGTATGTAGGTGTATACATATATATATATATATACATATAAACTACAGTTCTGGGCTTGCTTTTAGGTATTTGCCAGCAAAATAACTCGTACCTTCTTAATATGATAAAAAAAAGGGCCTACAATAGGCTTATACATCATTCTGAGAGCATTTAAATTCAAATACGAAGTTCCAAATCAAAATATTTATTGATGTCTTCACCTAATAATACTTTTTAGAGCATTTCCAGTTTAAATTTCACAATCATACAATTATAGCTGTATCAACCTAAAATTGGCATGGCAAATATATATAATAGCAAAATTTATCCTAATTTAAGAGCTGGCACTTTCCAATACAAGAATTACCATGATATGATCCATAGATCCCTAACTATAAATCTAGTTCGCAAATGATCTTAATTGAATAATATAATAGAATATCATATGATATGATATGATATATGATATATGATATTATAGTATATATTAACTGTATATAAAATCAAAATAACATAATATGATATACATATGTATATTATTTTGATGACATATTACAATATGATATGATATGAACATGAAATTTATATGAAATCAAAATAACATGATATGATATGAATTCATAAGGATATGCTACGATATGATAAGATATGATAGGTGGTATGAAACGATCAGACGTGACATATCGGAAAAATATTAAATATGAATGGGAAGTGAAAGTTTTATAGATGTAAGCATTATTAATAGTTTATTAATCGAATATTGCTGCACTAAGAAATAGCGTAAGTACCTAAATTATATCTCAGATAAGATAACCTCATTCATTCATGTATTCATAATTTCATATTGTTTTTATCTTTTTTAGTAAATCCCTTTCTGTTTATTTCCATTTATTTCGAAATTGACAGATCATTTGTCACCCGAAATGACCTAAGCAGAGAGTTAAGTAGGCTGTTAAATCAGACCCGAGCTTTGCATTTTATAGAGCAGAAAATAGATATCTAAATATAAAAAAGTTATTTTTGAGGCCAATAGGTCGTTAGGTAAGAGCTGCAAGCCGAACTGCGTCTATATCATTTAAATGTCACAAGGATTTTGAGCTGTGGCGCTTTAGCAATTAGCCCGAAGGATAACAATGACGTATTGCAGGTGAGACGATGTGCGTGTGTGTGCGAGTGTATGTGTGAGGGGGAGTGTTAAAAATAGTTAAAGGCTCGTCACGGCTGTCCATCGAGTGGCAAAGGACATCTAGTTAGCCATGAAGCTTAACACAAATTATGCGTTTTAGCGCACTACGTAGTCGTTGCCCCTTGCCCCCATCCCCTCACCCACCTTGGGGTGTACTTAACAAATTGCCTGGCCAGCGATTGCATAATGTATGAAGAGCAAACCGACTGTGTACACAACCAACTGCCGAGTCCTTGTTGTCCTTTTTTTCTCTATCTATCTGTAGTTTTTTTTGGGCGCTTTTTGCCGAGGCTCGACCAGAGGCCAATATGGCTAATACTAATGGGCCGCGACTGGCCGAACAATGGCAATTCGAGTCGAGCCTTTGTCGGCGGACGGACAATTGACGGCATATGCACGCCTGGTCGGCCACAGATTTCGATCCGGATCCCCATCAGGCCCCACACACTCTCACTCTCCCTCTCCCTCTCTCTCTCTCTCGCCCTCTCTCTGTCTTTTCGTGATATTGCGCATATTAGCTTTGCACTTGAGCCACCCAACGGGCACGCCCACCCATCAAAAGATAATTTAATAGCCCCCCACGCACACACACACACACACACATGTATCGATCGTGTGAAGCTCGAAATGTTTTTCCGAATTGCGTGTCCGACTGGTCAATTTTCCGAGCTGCCGCAAATGAACAAACGAAACCGCAAATGAGAAACCAAACCAAACAGTTCTAGCCATTTGGCTTCGTTAGGGTTGGGCAGCGGGGCGGTAGGTGGGGGGCGTGCCCATGGCATGTGTGTACCGCGCACATGAATTATTAATTGACAATTGCCGAAAATGTCCATTATCAGGTGGAAGAAGTAACGCAAAAGTAGGCGGAGAATTGGTTGGTAAAGGGCAAGGGAAAACAGAGAGGAGAGCGGGGAGAGGGGGGGTGCAGGGGCCATACGAGGAACGAGGTCAGTCTCTGTGCTGTATTAGGAAAATTTCAATTTCGTTCTAATGAAAATTGTGTGTGGCAAATGCTAGTTTCCCGTGCCCCCTCCCCCTCCACGCCGCTCACCTCTTATCCCTCACACCCTACACAGAGAGACAATCCTCATAATGGGGTTAGTTGCTTACTTTTTCTTTTTTCGGGTTACTTTTGCTGCCCCTCGCCTCGGCTCGCCTCGCTCGACAGTTTTTTTTTTTTTGGTCTCTTTGCAGGTGTTTCCATTTCGGCCAATTGCAAATTACAACTTCCGTTCGCCCCTGTCCTGCCCCTGTCACACACACACACACACACACACACATGTGCAGCTCTAATGACATTCAGCAATGACAGCATTGAAATTACGCACCACAAAATTCACGCGTGTGTGTGTGTGTGTGCGTGTGTGTGGAATCGCTCGATTGGCCAACTGCTCAGCCTGATGGCTAATCAGTTTGAGCCAACTGAAGCAGAACTGAAATCATTTTGCCAAATGGCTTTTCCAATCTGCCCAAATCAGTTAAATAAACCACGTATATGATTTATTATGCATTTACATTGTTTGTTCCGTAGCTGGAATTACATAAGATCGACTTGAGACGAACCCAACAACAAGCTGAGCACACAGACCGAACCCAGAGAGAACCACAAAGCAGAAGCCAGAGGCGAGCATTAGCCGGTTTTGTACGAAGAAAGAGAACTCGGCTAGAACTGAGCGGCTTGGCTTACACTGACGTGTTCAAAAGTCGTTCAACTCGATCGCCAGAGAGAAACAGAGGAAAAGAGAGAGAGAGAGAGAGGGAAGGCGAGCGAGTAGCAAACAACTGTTGGGCAGGTGAGAGAGCTGGCTGGCCGCGTGGCTATAGCAACCAAAACACTTCTGTTGACTTCAGCGAAAAGTCGCGAGCTGTGAGCTCTCGCTCTTAACTTTGTTCTTCAGCCATTGTCAACAGTCGATAAACAGCAACAAGCAGAGTCGGGTCAAGGTTTCTACTGTGCAAAAAACAGAAACAGAAGCAGTAAAAGAAACACTAAAAGAAACAGCAAAAGTAAAAGAAAACCAAACGAAATGCTGAAACTTCTGGTGACGATGCTGCTGGCAGCTCTGCTCACCCGCCGCACTTTGGCCATTTCGTGCGGCGGCTGCGTGGACTTGGATGAGATCAACTTTGACAAGACCATTGTGCGCTTTCCCTATGCGCTGGTCAAATTCGACATTGCCTTTCCGTATGGGGAGAAGCATGAGGCGTTCGCGGAGTTCTCGAAGGCGGCGCATAAGGTGACGGCCGAGCTGCTGGTGGCCACCGTGGGCATCAAGGACTATGGCGAGCAGGAGAACAAGGCGCTGGGCGACCGTTTCAAGCTGAATGAAAAACAATTTCCAGGCATTTTCCTGTTCAAGGGCAACGTCGATGAGTTTGTGAAATTTCCAGCCCATCTGGATGTTACGCTCGACAACCTGAAGACGTTTGTGAGCAGCAATACGCCGCTCTACATTGGCTGCGAGGGCTGCCTGAAGGAGTTCAACGAGGCCCTCAAGAACTATGCCAACCGGCCGCATGACGAGCAGCTGGCGCTGATCAAGGAGCTGCAGGCCAAGGCAGAGAAGTTGAGCAACAAGTTCAGTGAGCAGCAGAACGCCAAGGTGTATCTGGTCTATATGCAAAAAATCAATGAGCTTGGCTACAGCTTTGTCGAGGAGGAGACCAAACGTTTGCAGCGCCTCAAGGCCGGCAAGGTGACGGCTGCCAAAAAGGTGGAACTGCAGCACCGGCTCAACATTTTGGACGCCTTCCGAGTGCACAAGCTGACCAAAGCAGCGCCAGAGAAGGCCAAGGCAGAGCTGTAGGTGGCACAACTAGACAATTATCTTCCTAGAGAAAGTACCAAAATTCATACTTCTTAAACATAAAATAGGCACCCAATTGTGTACATTAAAAACCTAACTGTTACCAAAATCCAAAGTGTTTGTTTTGTTTAACTGTTTGCCATAGCAACAAGGACCATGCGCTGTGTGATTATGCCTGGACAATAAATAATATAATTTAGCATAATTTTGTTTAGATTTTTCCGCATATATTTTATAAGTTCTATTTCTTCTTGAATCCTAAGAGTATGTAGATATTTGTATAATTTCAATTGCGCTTAAAAGTATGCAACAGCTTTTTAAATACGATGAGGAAATTCCCAACAGAAAATTTCCCTTATGCAGCAGCGTGAGAGCAGCCAATATAGGCTGGGAATAAAAGAGAGCAAGAGAGAGAGAGGGCAAGCACACTCGCTATTGTGCAAAGTGCACATTAAAATACATTAATTAAACTTAATTAATGCATAATGAATGTAAAGCTTAACAAGCCTTTTATAATTGTTATTACACCAAAAATTGTTCAATTGAGCGACATTTACAGGCAATTCGTTGCAGATATATGTTTACATGCGTGTATGTATGCAAGCTGCATGATAAAGACTGTGCATATGCATGTGTGTGAGTGTGTTTGTGTGCTTGCGAGCTTCATCGGGCCGCGCTCTTCGCACTCATGCGACCGATCGCAACAATGGCGAAGCAGAGGCTAAAGCAAAAGCGCATTATGGCCGCGTTCGCTTGCAGTTTTTTCCCTCACTTGGAGCAGCGCGGCCTCAGCTGTATGTATGGGTGTGTGTGTGTGTGTGAGTGTGCGAGTGTGTCTGTTTGTATGTTTGCGTTGTTATCGCTCATTTTCACTTTAATATGAGTTTTTGTTGCTTTTGCTGTTGCTGTTGTTTTCTTTTGGAGTTTGCTCTTTTGTGCACGCTGCGCTGCTGGGCAGCCATATTTATTTGTTGTTGCTTTTTTTGTGTGCTGTTGGGGCCCGCAGCAGCAACAGCAGCAGCAGACACTGCAGTAAAATTGTGTTTTTGTTGCTGCTGTTGTTGTTGGTGTTCCGTTCGTATGCGAAAGTCAATGAACTTTTTCGGTGTTGTCTATGCATTTCATATGCTGTTATTGCTTTTGTTGTTGTTTTGCGATAAGTGCTACGCCGGTGTTGGTATTGGTGCATTTGAGCATGAACAAAAAACCAAAAACACAAAAAATCAAGCGGAAAAAATAACAAAACGAAATAAATTACAAATTTCCGAGCCACACAAATGCAATATGCAACGGGTTAATAATCAGCGAGAGTTTTCGTACAGCTTTCTATTTGCTTTTAGTTTTTCACAGAATTTTCGCGCTTATCGCCCAATTGATCCGACAATAAATTAACAGATCCGCAAGAAAACTGCCCGCGGCTTTGCCAATTGGTAATTCTTATCTAAAGCAGGCGACCTTTGACCCGCAGCTCACTCAATTTACAGGCAGCTAAAAAAATGAATGGGAATGAGGAAAACTCAATTGGCGCACGAATTCTGCTGGTTTGCAATCAAATGCTGCGAAAAACACACAAACAAAAAACCAACAAGAAAAAAAACAAAGAAAAAACAACAAAAATATAAAAGGGAAAATCATAATAGGGCAAACAATTTTCACACACTAAACGCAACCGCAAAGAGCGAGAGGAGCATCTCTCATGCCACACCTACAAAGGATATCATGCAAATGTTTGCATTTCCACGCAAGTGCACTACCCCTCCCCCAAAGACAAACGATCCGTCAGTCAATCAGCCAGTCAATCGGATGATCAATCGAACCCTTTTCGGCAAAGGGCACTGAGAAATTGAAAGCGGATCGCCCACGCCGCCAGTCGAGCGCATGAAAATTTGAAAACCCTTTTTCCACTCATTATCATGTGCATAATCTTGGCTGCAATTGCATTAGACGTAACCTGAGTGCCGAATAAGTATGTGGCGTCGCCTCTTTTGGCCAAAGCCAAGTCATCCATAAGGTTGCATGTTGCGTGTTGCGTGTCGCCATCTTCTTCACATATCTGAGAGAAAAGAGCCAATATTCAGGTAATATAAGGTGGACTACCTGCTGTGAGATTTACGTTTATGCATTTCATTTTCATTGTTCGTTCGCTTTTTCCTCTTTCCATACATATAGTTTTTTGGCTATAAAACAGGTTCGGGCCATAAATTTATCTCGCGCTGCAGATCGAGAACTCTTCTATGCAGCCCGCCTACTAGTTGACAATCAGAATAAAAAATTTATACATATGCATCTGTGTGTGCGTGTGTGTATGTGTGTGTGTATATTTGTATCAAATCCTCTTTTGGCGCAGCACTAATCGAAGGGTTCGACGCGTCGTCGAGGTCAGGTCAAAGCAAATGCATTAACTGTGTAATCCCAGATATGAAATCTGAGCGAGGCGACGTCGCTTGACTTTTGGAAAACACATTTTCACGACTCGCCCCGACGCTCTGATGATCGTTTTTTATGATTTTCTTGTTGTTTTTGTTTCAGTTTCTTCTCTCGTCGTCTTCTTCTCTCTTTTTTTTTTTGCGTCGGTTGCAGCCTCTGGGCTTGGGGATCGCGCTGGGCACAGGTAGCCGCAACAGATTTTGAAGCGCTTTGCGCATTAAAAAACCAACTTTTTTTTTGTTTTTTTTTTTTTTTGGTTCGTTTAAATGCGTTTTTCTTCGTTTTGGTTTTTTTATTTTTTGAAAAATGTTTCATTTTGAGGTTTTTGCTTTCCTCGAACCTTCTTCTGATTGCATTGCCGCGCCTCGGACTCGGACTCGAACTCGGACTGTCATGGCTTAATTGCCAGACGCAAAACTTGCTCGCGCGCTGCGGGCGGGGCCAAGGCGGGAGCTGGAGTGGGTCAGAGCAGAAAAACTTCTTGGTCGATTGGCGTTTTGGGCCAGCCGGAGCTGTGATCCACAGCGTCACCGGCCATTGCACCGCGCATGCAGATAGTTTCCATGATGGAGCTGCAGAGTCAATGACTTGCGTGGCATTTTCTTCGACTCGTTGGCTTTTTTTTTTAGCGCCCAAAGAGTTCACAGAGAGTTTTCGGGAAAATGCAAAACGTGCAAGTCGATTGGAAACCCAAGCCAACCAGCATCTTTTCATATTCATATCTCTCTCAGTGTGTGTGTGTGTGTGTGTGTGTTGACAGGACGCCTTCGAGGTGAGAAGCGAGCACAGGGCTCAGGGCATGTGACAGGGGTCGAACATCTATAGGAACATCTAGAATTGAAGGTCCAGTTGCTGGCCCTCATCGTCTCATAATTAATGTCAAATAATTGGCAGAAATTTGTTTGCTATTTAATTGTGAGAGTTTCGGCAGCCAAACGCAGCGAAACGCTGCGCCGCGTGTCGCGCTGCTGCCGTTGCGCTGTTTCCACATTTTCCTCAATTACAATTTTCACAATTTCTCAATCAATTTTTCTTTTGATTGGCCGAGATGCGGGCGCCCCATTTCGGCTACATTTGTTTAAGCTACGCATTGTTGCTCTAGAGCTCTAGCTGTAGCTGTTTCTGTATCTGAATTGCAATTGCAACATTTATCGCTCAGGCGGGTCATTGAACCACCAAATGCGCCCATGAATCGTAAATGCTGCGAGGGTCGTGATCAACTCGCTTTTACTAGCTTTTCCGAATACATTCAGCTACTACTATGACTCCTAATCTGACTCTGAATTCTAATCTGACTCCCACTCTGACTCTACTCTGTCTCTGACTCCTACTCTGACTCCTAGTCTGAATCCTTCTCTGAGTCCTACTCTGACTCCCACTCTGACTCCTACTCTGATTCCTACTATGACTCCTACTCTGACTCCCACTCTGACTCCTACTCTGACTCCGACTCTGACTCCCACTCTGACTCCTACTCTGACTCGTATCTGACTCCTTCTCTGAGTACTACTCTGACTCCCACTCTGAGTCCTACTCCGACTCCTTCTCTGACTCCCATACTGGCTCTCTCTCTCTTACTCCAACTCTGACTCCTACTCTAACTCCTTCTCTGAGTCCTACTCCGACTCCTACTCTGACTCCCACACTGGCTATCTCTTTTACTCCTATTCTGACTTGTCTCTAACTATTACTCGGACTCCCACTCTGACTCCGACTCTGACTCCCACTCCGACTCTGACTCCCACTCCTACTCTTTCTCTGACTCCTACTCTACCTCATACTGCAACTCTAACTCCCTCTCCGACTCCAGCTCTTCAGGCTAGCCCTGGCGTAGCTCAGTCTGGCCGGCTCAGTCTAGCGAAAGGCTCCCAGGATTGTCAGGCGAGTGCAACCTGCATCTTTGGCTGTCATGCTGTGCCCCGTTGATCGCTATCAAAATGCAACTGCTGCAATTGCCATTGTCCTGCACAGGATTCGCGGCGTTCCCACAGCATCAACACAACGCTGCATTGTCTACGCATTTGATTTTTGTTTTTCTCTCTCTTATTCTTATTCCCTTTTTTATATCAAAGCCAAAGATCGAAGCCAAACCCAAAAGTCACATGCGAACAACGACGGCTGCCATGGCCAACAACAACAGCAACAACAACCTGCCAGGAATCGCTTAAGGTTAACACATCGCAAACAATGGCCGCGCAAATGGACTGGCCACAGACAGACAGACAGACAGACAATGAGAGAGGGGGGGAAATCGGCGAGCGGGGCAACTGGCTCGCGGACTTGCAACGAGGGTAGCTGCAAACCAGTTTCGAGTACAGCCTGTACCTGTCGCACCTTAACTGTTGCCTGTTGCTGCTGCGGCTGCTGCTCCGGCTGCGGCTGTTGTTGCTGTTGCCTTGCCTAATTGTGGAGGCAGAGCTAAACACAGATGCCAGTTGATGATCCCTCCCTCCCCTCACTAGCTCACTCCACTCCATCTCCTAGCGAGATGCTGAGTCAGCGACCAAGTGGCAATTCTCTCAAGTTGCAAGATCGCGCAATGGCAATGGAAAATGGAAATGGAAATGGAAATGGAAATGGATGGGACAGCAAATGCGATTGTGCAGGTGCCGATCACAAACGCAAACACAAACTGAGTGAGGGCATGCACAACCAGTAATTACCCTGTGCACAGATTGTGCAAATGCAGAGAAAGTGGAGAAGTGAAAAGGAGAAGAAATGCGATGAGTGCAATATGAGAGTTATAGCATATGATATCAATAAAAAAATATACATTTTGTATTCATATTAATAATATATATTATAATATAATAATCATAGATATATTTATAAATAATCATAGATCTGAATAGGGTAGTTTTATAAATATATTACGCTTCTACAGTCAATATATTTATTTTTATTCACGAATAAGAAAAATTCATATTAGGCAAAATTAATAATAATTTTTGGCAATTTTATTTTAGACAATTCTATTCAATAAAATTAAATATAAATTCTTTCAATATTAAAAAATGCTTTTACTTAAAAAATTATTTTAATAAAATATTATTATTATAAATAAAATATATTAAAATATATAAAATGTTATTATATTCAATAAAAATATATATATTATTTTAATTTTTATATTAGTCCATTTAAAATTTATTTATTTTTAAGATTAATATAAATATTTACTTGACATTTTCGAAATTTGAAATGTAGTCAATTTTTAATTAATTTATTTTTAATATTAATATAAATATTTACTTGACATTTTTTAAATTTTAAATGTAGTCAATTTTTAATTAATTTATTTTAATTATTTATATAAATATTTACTTGACATTTTTGGAATTGTAAATGTAATAAACTTTTAATTAATTTATTTTTAATATTAATATAAATATTTACTTGACATTTTTGAAATTATAAATGTAGTCAATTTTATTAAATATTTTTAAAATTTTATATGAGTTGATTTTGTTTAATTTTACAAAATTTATACATTAAAAAAAAATTAATTAATAATCATTAATGAAATAAAAAAATTCCTCTGAAAATTATTGTATACATAAATGCAATTTATACCCCTTTTTACAATTCCTACAGGGTATCTATAAGAGTCACATTCTTACTCAACTAACTCGGCCTAAGAACAACAGAAAGGCACAAAGTCAACAGCAAAGAATAACAGTGGCCAAAAAAGAACGCAAAAGAAAACACATGCAGTCACACGCACACACAGATAGAGAGAGAGAGAGAGAGCGAGAGAGGGGAGGGGACAGACAAAGGACGCAGCGGCCAGTGCACATTCTCATTTTCAACTATAAAATTTATTCGCATTAATCGCCGTCAAAGATAAAATTAAGGAAAGAAAACGACTTGGACAGGATCAGAGTAGGGGTCAGGGTCAGGGTCAGGGCGAGACGCAGCCAGAGAGACGGAGACGAGGACGAGACGAGCCACTGCTAGCCAGGGGTCGGCATGATAAGGCAACATTGACACCTTTAGCTACGAAACTACCTGCCGCTGCAGCTACGTTGCTGGCATTTCTGATTGCGTTCGAGACTATCTAATTGTGAAAAAAAATAAAAAATAGAGACAAAATAGAGAACGAAAAGCAGACGCTGTCCCAGCAGAGCTGAAAATTTGGCAGGACTGTACACTTGTCATCGAATAAGCGAATATATATACACACACACACATACTCACATCTTTATGCATATATTTTAGACTATTTTAGACAAGGGGAGGCGGGTGGTGGGGGCGTGCCAACCACTGGCTAAGTGGAGTGAAGCGAATGCGTGTGTAATTAAGTGTCGCAAAAAGACGCAGCAAGAAAATATGTGCTGGGCGCTAACATGTGAAGGTAATCAGAGAGTGTGTGCGTGTGTGTGTGTGTGTGTGTGTGTGTGTAAATAGGAAAAGCATGTTGTGTGTGTTTTGGGCGCCATGGTCGACTAATAGAATGGATGCGCCATAATGTCCCGTGCCAAGGCTGAGGGTGATAAAAATGTTTCATGTAAATTGCAAAAAACAGTTTTTATGTCCCATTGCCGGCAGTGGCAGGAGGCGGGGGGCAGCAGGAGGCAGCCAGGCAGTCATCCAGGCGGCTGCGTGTGAAGTGGTGCAAAATATTAGACAAGGGCGGTTGGAGCTCACTGGAGGATGAGGATGTGGATGAGGATGCGGAAGCATCTGTGTGGGTGGACGCGTTGGCCGCTTTGAAGTGTCGCCGCCCATTGTGGCTCGTAGTTTGCGTTCTATTTATAGAGTGCGTTTCCTTCTTATTTCTATTTTTTTTTTTTCAATTTTTGGCCAGGCGAATAATTAATGCGCGCACATTACACAACACTGGCTGGCAATGACAGCTCCGTCAGTTTCGCAACACTACTCAGCAAGTCTGGCAATTGCTGTCAAAAAACGTTTTCTACACACATTACAAGCTAGTTAAGGGTTTTCTCAAATGGGCAGAAGTCAATCGGATGTTGAGACTGTTGGGAGCTGTATCATCATCATCTTCTCTGTCTCCACAAGGATCGGTTATCGTAGAACCGAAAACATATTATGGTAAGTTGAAAATAATATTTATGCCAATTTGCCAAAAATTTTCAGCAAAAACTAAAAGTGAAAATACAAAAAAAAAAAAATATATATATATATATATATATATAAAAATAAAAGTTATTAAAGTCCTTTTTTATTCAGTCGCTTGCTGTCAAATTGCGAATACCAAACCGCGTTCAGCCAGATGTGATTCCGTTCTTTGGCTCGGTGGGCGTCTACACCAACAAGATGCACTACATGCGGCAGCAGCTGCTCGAGGAGCTGCCCTCGAAGCCGTTCGCCCTGGACTTTATGCAGCCCGTCGACTCGGATGCCCTGAAGGTGCCCACCTACTACACGATTATACAGTGGCCCATGGACTTGGGCACGATTATGAAGCGTCTGCAGAATCTCTATTATCAGAGTGTCGAAGATTTGATTAGCGACTTTCGGCTAATCTTACGAAATTGCTATACATTCAATCGACCCGGCGATATTGTCTATCGCAATGGCCAGAAGCTGGAGCGATTCTTTTTGCGTATCCTAAAGAATATGCCCGAAGGCCCCGAGATGCCCTTGAACCGCGATCCCCGTGCGCCCTGCAGCCCGCCCAACAGTCAGAGGACCACAGCGTTCATCGAGCGCAAGTGCCGCGAGCAGCTGAAGAAGCTGCAGGCCTCCAATGCCGAGCACTCGGATGCCGATTTTCGCGACTTGCTCAAGGAGAAGCTGAGCGGGGTGTCGAAGCAGCTGAGCAAGCACCAGTTCAAGATTCACGAGGACTTCAAATTGGAGCTGGACATCATGCTGCTGAAGTCGTGCAAGCGGGCAAAGGGCGTATTCGAAGGCATATACCAGCAGTCGCTGGACAGCGTCGGCCAACTCACGCATCAGAAGGAACTCAGCCAGCTCTTCTTCCTCCTGCAAAAGAACGACGATTGCGCGCGACTGGAGCAAAAGCCGCAGACCATCAAATGGGAGGACAGTCTGGTGGATTGTCTGGATACGACGGTGAAGAGATTTAAGGACAAGCTGGAAGCTTGCCGCTTGGAGGAGGAGGAGGAGGAGGCGGAACAGGCAAGGCTCAAGAAATTGAGGGCGGCCGAACGCGAGAAGAAACGCGCCAAGAGCAAGCGGTCCTACTCCACGATCAACGATAAGCAATTGAGCTACGTCAGCGAAGCCGAACGTCGCACCATCCAGCAGCAGTTCCTGATGCTGCCGACGAGCACTAAGATAGAAATAATGCGCACCATTGCCCAGAGGGAGAATATATCCGTCGAGACAACGAACCTGGAATGGTTCGATATCAAAAACTTCAGCTCCATCACTGTGAACATGATGAAGAAGGCCATGTATCCGCACACCAAGCTCAACTTGCGCAACATGAAGCCCGCCGAGAAGGAGAATCTGCAGCGCTGCCTCGAGAACCGTCTGCAGAACATCAACCAGGTGCTCAATCGCAGTCGACGCAAGTACACACAGCGACTGCAGGCCCGCTCCACTGCCCCGGCCCGGAAACGGGCGCGCATCTCCACCAACTCTCAGTCGCAGCAGCAACAGCAGCAGCAGCAGCTGCAAACAGGTGCCGACAAGTCAGACGATAGCAGCAGCAGCAGCAGCGAAAGCGATTCCAGCAGCGACACCGAGTCGAGCAGCAGCTCCGAGTCCAGCAGCGATCCCTCGCCCGGCCATTCCCCGATTGCCCCATCCCTGCCCTGAACGAGACATTTGCATACTGATTGAAATAAATTTGTGAAGATTCGACGTGCACAACTATTGACACAAATATTTTCCTTTTCCTTTTCCTTTCCTAGTTTTGTTTTTTTGCGACTGGGGGAATCTCTGCAAAGCGCATCCTTGCATCTCTCGGCATCTCTCGGCATCTCGCCTGTCTATACAGCCATCACGTAGTCGAGCGAATTTTCACGAAAATTTATGCAAATGCCGAGCAGTTTCTCACGATGCGCCTAGGCCGAGCTCTACCTGACACCCAGGCGCGTTAAGACTCGGAAATTGGAGCGACAAAGATGATCAAGGTTTTCCGTGCCCACAGAGTGCACAAATTTGCATAAACAGCAGAGATTTTTCACTTTGGCGAAAAGGAAAAAGGGTTGCCAATGCTCCTACAAAATATGATCCTAATTTGCATATGCGAAATGCCTCAACGCAAAACGCAAAACGAAACGAAAGTGAAATTAGGAAAATCGTTGAAAACTCATAAGAGAAGGAAAAACCAGACGACAGACGACAAACAACAGAAGACAGCCCGAAGACAATCAACGAACGGCAGGGGTTAATTATGCGCACAGTGGACGGCGCTAGCGCCCGTACCGGTGCCGGATCTCACAGCATGCTGGCACGCTCGCACGCTCGGCGCAGCCCATTGCCGGCCGGGGGGTTGAACAGGGACAACAACAGCGCTAATTTGCATAAGATCGTAAACGGAATTGGGAAATAGCAATGCGTCCGTCTGTCTCTCGACTATTTGGCCAGGCAAAATTATGTAAATTATGCGTGCAAAAACATTGAGAAAACTTTCTCACGCTCTCAACTCCTTGGCTCAGCAGCCTTTGCTCACTTTTTCAGGTATTTCTCTATAAAGGTGTGTGTGAGGCCTCTGTTTGGGTTACATCACAACGGGCAACAAATCAATTTTGATCGATATTCATTTAGCTCTCGATTGATTTACTTAATTTACATAATTTCCTTACCCGATCGTAAGAACGAGGCGAATAATATGCAAATTCCTTTGGGTAAGCAAAGGAAACTCTAACGTGTACCTTTGTTACCCGATTCGCTTGAGCTTATGGCAGGCAAATATCTTTTATCTAGTTGCTAATGGAACTTGATCTTCTTCTTTTTGCTCTGTAATTCCTTTGGCCTGGTAATTTTTACACAGATTTGGCTCAGATTTTCGCCATTTTCTGTTGAAAATCTGCAACTTTTTGGGCTTCAGCTTGTCTCGGCGAGCTCCTCCCATCGCACGATTCCAACCACCCGTTGGCGTGCCACTCTGCTACAACCACCAAAGCGAAAACTTGCAAAATCGCCAATTGCATTTGCCAAAACACCGATCGAACCTTCGTCATGGCCATAAAATTGCAAGCATCAGCCAATGCGCAGCTCGGCTCTGGCAGGGAGCGAAACCAGGAGCTGGAGAAATGGGTATAGCAAAATTAGGAACCGGGAACAGGAACTAGAAATTGGCTGAGGTGAGAGCAACCACCGTTATAGACTCGAGATATGCACAGCTCTAACCACCCGGGCGAATTGAAAGTATGAACTTTGATGCATGTTGTTGTTGTTGTTGCTGTTGTTGTTGTGGCTGCTGTTGTTGTCGGCCTCCTTTTGGGCAAAACCATAAAAAAATCCGCAAAACGAGGGTTGTGTCTCGTAAAGTACTTATCGAAAACACCCCAAATACACTCGCCCGTCACACCCTGCCTCGCACTCGGCAAAGACATTATTACGCATACATAGTAAATGTGGAGTACGTTGCGTGTGGCATGTACGCACACACACACACACACACACACACGCACACATTCATGCAAGTTTCTCTGTATCTAGTAATTTTGCAGCAGCATGCAAATTTTTTTGTTTTCCTATTTTCCTTCTACCCCTACTCCGTTTGCTCGAGGGGTTGAAGCGCAAAACCAAAAGCAAAGCCAAAGCCAAAGCTTAGCTGCAACAGAGGCCGTAAAAGTCGTGGCTGTTTTGCCACGCCACGCCACGCCACCCCCCAGTTTGCATTCCGCGCCTTTTTTTTCATACACGTTGACAATCTGCAAAGTGAGTATATTGGCTTTTCGCAGTGCCTGAATTTTCGTTCACATGTTGACGTATAGCTAAAAGCTTGCTACGTCTTACAAAGTCTAGAGATCTTTTGAATACGCTCACTAGGATTATGAGAAAACATATATGTATATAATACTCTATATATTTGTATATCGTCTGGGCTCTATAGAAGCTAGGAGTTCGAGTATTTGTGAGCTCTTAGAGCATTCATTAAATGAAGCTTGGAAAACTATCAATTTTACAGTGATAAAAGTAAGACAACATAAGCTTCTTTACATATGAACATCTCTGTGGGCGTGGCAAATCAGGTTTAAAGCTAAAACGGCCAAATTTAGCAGTTATTGGCTCTGTTGTCTCTGTGGATGTGACTTTACAGCTAAATATCTATAAGATTCTACATTTTAAGCTGGTAAATCGCAAAAAAAGATTGGCTCTGCTTTAGTTATTAAGCAAAAATCATCTAAATTGAAACATATTCAGAGTTAACATAGACCCCATAGATTATAAATTGCCTTGCTTCTTTGCAAACGAGTATCATGCAGTCGGTACAGCACAACTGTCACATTTTTACTCCTGTTTTCCTCATTTTGATGATTATGTTTAGCGAGAACCACACACACATATGTACATACATATGCAACATATGTATGCTTATATGTTTTTTACCAAGGAGTTGCAAGTTTTTACGTTCATATTGCTTATCAAATAGTTTCCTTATCGCCAGCGCGACTCTAGACAAATATACATATGTATGGAATATAAGCATAAATATTTGTTGAGGGCAGATTAGATATCCTTTCAACTCCGTCAGAAACAAGCTGATCCATAAATTATGGTAAAGGACAGGAAATATGCAGCACAGGAAACCCTTTGAAATAGATAAACAACAAAAAGACTAAAGATGTGCTGACTGAATAATGAAATTAACTAATCATAAATATTATACAAAAAAGAGATATACAACATGCAACATGCAACATTCAAAATGTTTTAAAAAGTCTTATGAGGAAATAAAGAAAATTTCATTATAGACATATGAAACATATGCAACCTCTTCCAACAATATGCAATATGCAACACATAAAAACTCTGTGCAGAGCTACAGCAGGCAAATAAAACAGATCCGTCATATATCGTCTATTGATAACTTCTTTATAGACTCAAATAAAACCGAGTTATATAATATCCAAACCTCACTTAAATTTCACAGAGAACAAACATTCAATGTTATTTCTATCACATGTTTGTGTTTTATATATAACGAGTCTCATATTTGGCATAAATTAGACGCCATAGTTGGCGACCCGTATGCACCAGGAGGACATCTCATCAAATAAGGGCCAGAGATAGTGTGAGCGCGGTGGACGGGGAAGCGTGGACGAGGGATAGGTTACGGTTTGGGTATTTTTTACGCGACAGCGGCACCACCATAAACAACAAGACAACAACAACAACAACAACTGAATAGAAACAACAACAGCCAAAATGAAATGAAAACGCGCACTCGTCGTGCTTCACACGCGCAAGGATCTCGAAAAGGATCCAATTACAATAGATAGCCTGGCAGTTTTCTTTTTGTTCCTATTTTATTTTATTTTTTTGACTTGAAATATGTTTGAATTGTCGCATTTCTGCGTGCTATTCTCTGCCATGCCAAGGAGATCGATTGTCTATTGTCTTTTGTCTCGGCTCGGCTTGGCTTGTACGTGTGTCAGACGTTTGCTTTTGTCCTTGCGCCTCGGACTCGACGCGATGTCCTTTCACTTTCGTTCTCGGGCTTCCTTTATTTGCCGGATCGCCGTATGCTGGACGTGTGTCAGTCAGCAGATCTCCGACCGATCATTGTTGTGACTTGTTGACCTTTGTGGTTGAATTAGACACAGTCAATAAGGCATATTGTGAGCACATTCTGGCAGGCTGGCAATTATGCAATCATTTCCTAATTTGAATGCCCCTCACACATTACAGTTTTGTCTGTCTTTTTTTTTTTTTTTTTGGTAGGCAGCACCAGCACAAAACTTCAGTTTGTGTTGACGTAGGGCCGCCATTGCGCCACATGAGGCATAAACGAGCTGCAGCTACGCACACACGCACACCCACAAATATACATACATACATACATACATACAGATATGCATGCTATTTTGTAGAATAGGTTCATTTGAACAAGTTAATGAACTCATCAGTGGAGTCAAAATAAAACTGATAGAATTCTTTAAAAAAATATATCTTTTTAATCAATTGCCATTAAATTGCATTAAAAAACTAAATTAGAGCCCAATAAAAACTAATTATGTTATCGCTTACAGCAGCTGATCTAGTTCGAAAACCATAAACTAGTCCAAATGAACACGTCACATTGAACTAGCATTCTCGTGTCGTCAATTATTTGCATTTTTACCAATTGCCTTTTCGTATGCGCAGCTCCAACGCCGCCATCTTTGCGTTCGCTGATCAAGTAAAAAAATAAATAAATAAATAAAACGCAGCACTGCGCCCACGTCCCATGCTGGCGCATTCACGCTCTCGCTCTCGCTCGCTCTTGCTTTTGCGCTTGCCTCTCCTCACACAACATTGGCATTTTCTTTTACTTTTACACAATTTGTTTTCGTTCTTCGTTTTGTTGACATTTCCAAAAATGTATTATCTTTGTTGCTTTTGCTGCTGCTGCTGCTGCCGCTGCTTATGCTGCGTTGTTGTTGTTCGCTTGATTGGCGTTCGCGTCTGTTTTCGTGGTCTTCGTCTCCGTCTTCGCTTATGCTTGTGCGCGTTTATTTGTGTACGCGTTTGTGTGTGTGTGTCTGCATGTGTGCGTTTCGTATATTTATGCTTCTTGAGCTGTGCACATTGCACTCAAATCGCCGTTTTTGCTGCCGCTGCCGCTGCCTCTGCCGCATTCGCTGCCGCGACTGCAGTCAATTGCGTGGTTAATGCTAATTATTTGTTATTCTACAGACGCAGCGCTGCTGCTGCTTCTGCCGC